GTATTCAGACCTGATAATTTGCTCCGCTTTAAACGAACCAGAGTTCGTTTCCAGCGTTGGTCCGGACTTTTAGTGCAGGTGTGAATACACTCATGCGAACTCTGGTGCGGATCAAACAACCGGACCGAGACCCACTTTTTGAGGTGGTCTCGGTCCGCTTCCAAACRAACTCTGGTGCGGTTCACTTCAGTTCTCTTCTGGTGTGAATACAGACCGGACTCTAACCGAACCAACTGCATTAAACATGCACCTTTTTGGACTTCACAGGCCACTGTTGCTGAGCTAAATAAACTGAAATCAAACCTATTTCATCGTCTCCTGTTAGCAGCTCTGCTGCAGCATGTAGTGGGTCAGAACACGCAGAGCACCTCGTCTCCTTTGGGTCGCGGGACACATTTATTGACGTCGCTCCAAAATTAGAATATCATCACDGAACCACCATTAAATTAGCTGCTTCTGACATTTTAAATGCTATTGCAGTTGTACTATCAGTAAAAATGTGCGCATCAGAACTGCAGCATGCAGGACTTCCTTGTTTTCTTCTGGATCTGTGGCTCAGTCCCGCCCCCGTCTTTTTTTTGTCCAATGGGAGCAATGATCGTCACACTCGTGGCTTTGTTTACAAGTTATAGGTCGTTTGCAAAAAAGCACAATGTGAATGCAAACTGCACCAAACGAAAAAAAAAGTCCATTTTTGGTCCGGACCAAACAAATGGACCAAAGGACTTTCCTGGTCTGAATACACCCTTATAAAAGAAGTGGAGCAGGAGAAGGTGGATTTTGATTGGCTGTTGTCACGCACATTTCCACAAATTTTTGATCAAGTAAAGAAACTCACAGCTGATCACCGTGATCGTCCATCYGTCTGTCCATTTTCTTCCTCTTATCTGGGATCGGGTCTCGGGGTCAGCAGTCTAAGCAAAGAGACCCAGACTTCCCTCTCTCCAGCCACTTGGACCAGCTCCTCTGGGGGAGTCCCAAGGTGTTCCCAGACCAGCTGAGAGACATAGTCCATCCAGCGTGTTCTGAGTCTTCCTCTGGGCCTCCTCCCAGTGGGACGTGTCCAGAACACCTCACCAGGGAGGAGTCCAGGAGGCATCCTAATCAGATGAACCACCTCAACTGGCTCCTCTGGACGTGGAGGAGCAGTGGCTCTACTCTGAGTCCCTCCTGGATGACTGAGCTTCTCAGCCTATCTCTAAGGGAGAGCCCAGACACCCTGCAGAGGAAACTCATTTCAGCTGCTTGTATCTGTGATCTCCTTCTTTCAGTCACTACCCAAAGCTCCTGACCATAGATGAGGGTAGGAACGTAGACCGACTGGTAAACTGAGAGCTTCACCTTCTGGCTCAGCTCTCTCTTCACCACGACAGACCGGTACAACACCCACATCACTGCAGACGCAGCACCAATCCACCTGTTGATCTCCCGCTCCATTCTTCCCTCATTCGTGAACAAGACCTGAGATATTTAAACTCCTCCACTTGGGGCAGGACCTCCTCCCCGACCCGGAGACGGAACCCTACCGGTTTCTGGCTCAAGACCATGGTCTTGGATTTGCAGGCACTGATCCTCATCCCGGCCGCTTCACACTCGGCTGTGAACCGCTCCAGTGAGAGCTGGAGATCAGGATCTGATGAAGCCAATAGGACCACATCATCCACAAAAAGCAGAGATGGGATCCTAAGGTCACCAAAAAGGATCCCCTCAACACCTCGGCTGCTCCTAGAAATTCTGTCCATAAAAGTTATGAACAGAATCKGTGACAAAGGACARCCTTGGYKGAGTCCAAMTCTCAYYGGAAACRAGTCAGACTTACTACCAGCAATGTGGACCAAGCTCTGGCACCGGTCATACAGGGACCTAACAGTCCGCATCAATGGGCCTGGTACCCCATACTCCCGGAGTACCCCCCACAGGAGTCTCTGAGGGACACGGTCTAACGCCTTCTCCAAGTCCACAAAACACATGTAGACTGGTTGAACTCCCATGCACCCTCCAGGACCCTGTTGAGGGTGTAGAGCTGGTCCGCTGTTCCAGGACGAAAACCACACTGGTCTTCCTGAATCCGAGATTCGACTATCTGACAGACCCTCCTCTCCAGGACCCCTGAATAGACCTTACCAGGGAGGCTCAGAAGTGTAATCCCCCTGTAGTTGGAACACACTCTGCGGTCCCCCTTTTTAAATAGGGGGACCACCACCCCGGTCTGCCAATCACCGTAATCGACCTGAAATTTTTCACAATCGAATAATCGCCAAGCCCTGGGGCTGAGTATCTGTTGGTAAATGGTGATTTGTCAGATATGAGGACTGCAGGGTTTGATCTTCACTGGCTTGAAATCTACAGTAGTAGGAGGAAAAATTTCTGATATTTTGGACACTCTAAAATGTTGCTTTTGGTCAAGACATCTGTATCTGTTACAGTAACACGGTGTTTGGTGCCAGGCAGGATGGTCTGAGTGGGACTTACAGAGTCTGGTCCAGAACAGAGAGAATAGTTGTGTGGACAAACATGTCTTGTTGGTGTGAGAGGAGAATGGGCAGACTGGTTGGAGATGATAGAAAGGCAGTAGCTCAAATAACCACATGTTATAAACAAAGGTCTGCAGAACACCATCTTTAAACTCACAGCACGTCCAAACCTTCAACAGATAGATGGTCTACAGCAGCAGACCATAACAGAACCAGTTCCTGTGAGCTAAGAATAGGAAGAACAGTTCTCACAGACTCACTACAACTGGAGAGTAACACATTTCCTGGCATGACGAGTCTCAGTTCACTGGCCTCTGATAGTCTCCACCATGACTGGACCTTTGGGATGTGTTGGAACAGGAGACTCGTATCAGAGGAGTGCTACTGACACATCTGCAGGAACATTGTGATGCCATCATGTTAATATGGACCAAACCTCTGAGGAATGTTTCCAACAACTTGTTGAATCTATGACACAAAGAACTGGAGAAGTTATGGAAGGCAAAGTTTCAAGGTTTATTCTATAGGGAAGCAGATGTTTTATGTTCCCTGCAGTCACTGGTAGACCAACAGGTTCTACAGACAAATGTGAGTCTGTGTGACAGAAACCAGCTGAAGTTTGCACTAAACTGGCTTATTCAACATAAAAAATAATATGAGACACAGCAGGAAATATACTACAGGAAAGTTGTAACAACTCAAAGTGTGTTATTTTTTTGAATACAGTGGTGGGACCTTTAAAGAATTGCTTATATATTAAAGGCAACAACTTTCAACAAAAGCAAAGTCTCCACAATATAACAGATCAATGATGTCTAAGCAAAGAAGTAGTCCATCGTGGATTTGCTGTTAAAGCTGTTGAACCATATTTAAACTTACCGTATTTATTCAAGTATAATATGTAAAATTAAATCCATAAAATCATCCATAAAGTTGTGGGGTAGTATTATACTTGGTTAAATGTTTTTACATATGTATTTTAACCGAAATATCGGTTTCATTCACAAAATGCCTGAGTCCGGAAATGAGACCACGTTGTAAAAATCATTTGAAACGAGCTCACCTCTGACACTCCTCCATTTTTCAGAGTGAGATAATAACAGATCCAGGCAGGAGACATGATGTGGAAAAAGGTGGGGAAAAGCAGTCCTGCAGCTCAGTAATGATAACAAACTAATGACAGCGTGTGACTGAGCCGCTCCTCGAACAACAACAACAAAGACATGTTCGTCTGTAATGGCTGCTGTCTACTGGTGTTCTGAAAAAGTTTGTATCCCTGAAAAACGTTTCCCCACCAGAGGGGGCGCTCGTGAGTAGGAAGTAATCTGCTTTT